ATAGGCACTTGGTATATATTTATTGAATGCTGGTTTTGAAAATGCTTTATCTGAGCTAGATCTTGATAGTCAGATGAAATTTGGATCTGCAAAGATTGGAAGAGCATTCTAAGCAAAAGGAAAGGCATGAGAAAAGCCACATTCGTGAGGAGAGCAAGAGAATAAGGAGAATGGATTTAAATGAAGACATAGATGCAAAAAAGGGAATCACAAGAAGTTAAGCTTTGAAAGTTAAATTAGAGGCTCATAAATGGCACTCTAAGGAACCTGGCTTTTCAAGTATGCAGTGGGAAGCCCTTAGAGTGTTTTGGAGCATGAGGGATCGGTGATTAAAGTTTATGCTTTGGAAACAATAATCTGAAAGCAAATGTACATAATAAAGACAGAAGGTGAGACTGGATGAAGGGAGACCAGTTGAGGGAGTATTGCAAGCATCTAGGTCAGAGGTAATGAGATCCCAAAGTGGGGTAGTGGCAGTAGGAATAGAGATGAGGTTCAGATTCCGTAGGTATTTAGATTGTTTATTGATTAGATGTTGGAGGAAAGAGTGAGGTGAAAGATGAAATATATATATATATATAAACAAAACCAAAAACAATAATTATTTCTTTGCCAGGCTACCCAGACAGGGATTTCACAAGTATGGTATTAATTAAATCAAAGAGGGTACACTATATGGTAATTATGGAAGGTTTTTTTTTTTAATTTTTCCCACTTTCCTATGGCCTTCCTTCACATTCTGGTGTTTCCAATGTGACCCAGGAAGTTTTCATGGCAAAGCAGGAGGAGGAGAGAAATTACCAGTCAGATGGGAGAGCCGCATTCTATTTTGTTTTGGGGAATTTAAGCAAGGAACAAGTACCATGACTACATATAAGCTTTATGTGTAAAGAATTTTCCTTGTTACTATCTAATAATAATAGTAACAGTATCTTACATTTAATACACACATATAATGTTATGTACTGCTTAAGTACATTATATGGATTATCATATTTAGTACTGACACAAGTCCTAGGAAGTAGGTATTGTTATTCTCATTTAAAGCTGAGGAAAGAGAGGTCTGAGAAGCTAAGCTACTTTCTCAAAGTTACACAGATAGTAAGTGAAAGAATCATATAAAATAATGATGTCCAGAACCTTTATTCTTTTCTTTTATTTATTGATATAATTGTGGTAAAATATGCATAACATAAACTTTTTTTCTTTGTGGAGAGGTTTTAGCTACAGGGCACATGCGCTTGCCAGAGAGAGATAGAGAGACAGAAAGAGAGAGATAGAGAGACAGAAAGTGAGAAATCACCCCCTGGGGGGATGGCCATGCCGCAATCCTTCCTCCTCCAATCTCCTCTCGGGATCTTGGGCACACATGGACACACACCAGGCATGAGTTTAAGCTACCAGGTCTGGGACTCAAACCGCGGTCAACTACATGAGAGTCCAGCAACATAGCCATTATGCCAATTGCTGGTCACACATAAAATAAAATTTACAACCTTAACCATTTATTTAAAAAAAATTTTTTAGAGAGATGTTTGCCAGAGAGAAAGAGAAAGAGAGACGGAAAGTGAGAAATCACTCCCTAGGGGGGATGGCCACATCACAATCCCTTCTTGTCTATTCTCGTCTCAGGATTTTGGGAATGCATGCACACATGCTTGGATTGAGTTTCAAGCCACTGGGTCCAGGACTTGAACCATGGTTGACTACGTGGAGTCCAGTGATGTAACCATTACACTATCTGCTGGTCACCATCTTAACCACTTTTAGGTATACATTTCAGCAATGTTAATTCCATTCACACTGCTACACAACCATCACCACCATCCATCTCCAGAACTCTTTATCTTCCTCAACTGAAACTCTGTATCCACTAAACACCAACTCCCTATTCCCCTTCCTCCAGCTTCTGGAAATAGCATTTTATCTTCTGTGTCTATGAACTTGACTCTTATAGGTAAGTCATATAAATAGAATCATACTGTATTTATCTCTTTATCACTGGCTTATTTCATTTAGCATAATGTCTTCCAGGTTTATTCATGTTTACCATGTGTCAGAAATTTCTTCCTTTTATATTCCATTGCTTTTACATACCACACTTTTTATCCCCTCATTTATTTTACTTTCTTCTTTCTAATTTTTAGGTTTTCACTATAAGGCATGTGTGCTTATCAAAGAAAGAGAGAGAGAAGGAAAATGAAAAATTACCCCCCACTCCCCAGGGTGTATAGCCATCTCACACAGTCCCTTCTCATTCAGTCTTCTTTCAGGATTTTGGGCTTACACACATATGCAGCCAACGTGTTTTTTCAAGTCACTGGTCCCAGAACTTGAATCATGGAGTAGGTCATGTGGGATCCAGCGCCTTAACCACCATTCCATCTGCTGGTCCATACTCCTTCAGTTGTAGATGGACACTTGAAGAGCTTCCACATATTGAGTGTTGTGAAGAATGCTGCTATATATGAACATGGATGCACAAATATCTCTTCAAGACCCTGCTTTTAAAACTGGGTATGGATCCAGAAGTAGAAGAGCTGGATCATATGTTAATTCTATTTTTAATTGTTTAAGAGAACTGTCCTAGTATTTCACAGTCTTTACTTTATCAGTAATGATCTGTTGTTATACTAGTTGCCCAGAGAGATGTCAAGCAGGCCATCATTTGCCAAATCAGCTTGGTCATCCATGAATCTTCAAATAAATAGTTAAAATACTTTCACTACTGCTAATTATTCCACCCCTAAGGAAGCAAATGAATCAGGAAATAAATTCTATCAAGATATCAAAATGGGGGAACCAGCAGTTAGCATAATGGCTATGTCGCTGGACTCCCATGCAGTCGACCACGGTTCGCATCTCGGACCCAGTGGCTTAGAACTCACTCTGGGCATGTGTGCGTGCGTGCCCAGGATCCCGAGAGGAGAATGGAGGAGAAGGGATTGTGGCGTGACCATCTCCCCTGGGGGGGTGATTTCTCGCTTTCTGTCTCTATGTCTCTCTCTGTCTGTCTGTCTGTCTGGTGAGCGCACGTGCCCTATAGTGAAAAACCTCTCCAAATAAAGAAAAGAAAAGAAAAGAAAAAGATATCAAAATGGAAATCACAGAAAGGGAAGTCTTATCTGAGATCATTTTCTGACAAATATGTGTGGATAATCTTTCATATACCTAAGAATTCCAAAGACTAGATTACTTATTTTCTGGTCATTTCTCAGATAGAACTATGCGACTTTGGGGAAAATCACCTCTCCCACCTTGCTGGGAGAAATGATACAAAAAAGATATAGTGTTATGTTCTTAGACAACGTATTTCATCTCTCTGAAGTTCAGTTTCCTCATCTGTAAAATAGGGATAATATTAAGATGTTTTTACCTAAGTTGTTGGCAAGATAAAGTGAATAGAAAAATAATATTGGCCCATATTATAAGTGTACATTGCAAATATTTAGTAAAGAGGGGATGCTCTTGGGCCAGCCTGTGGTGTGGCAGTTAGGATAGCTGGGTCACACAAGCCAACTGCATGGTTCAAATCCCAGACCCAACAGCTCGAAAAACATGCCAGGCACATGTGCCCAAAATCCCAAGAGGAGAATGGAGGAGAAGAGATTGGAGTGTGGCTGTACCACTTTTTCTTGCTTTCTCTTTCTGTCTCTCTGGAACAAACCCACATACCCTATAGCAAAATTTTAAAAGAGAGAGAAAGAAGCTACTATTAATATTGATATTTTCAAGATTTTATATGTAAAAGAAATAGAAACACTTCTCCAAAGACCTGTACATGAATGCACATAGTAGTTTCATCTGTAATAGACAAAACTGGAAAATGTTTAGACATCCCTCGGTAGGCAAATGGTTAAACACACTGTGATACAATCATATTCAGCAATAAAAAGGAGCAAAATTAGTGATACACCTAGCAGTTTGGATAAATCCTAAAAGAATTATGCTGAATAAAAAATCTAATTCCAAAAGGTCACATACTGTAATATAGTCATTTGTTGCTAAAGACAAGGATGCATTCTGAGAAATACATCACTGAGTGAATATCATAGATTATACTTACACAAGCCTAGATGCTTTAGCAACCTACACACACCTAGGCAATATGGTAAAATATCATGGGACCGACATCCCATATAAGGTCTGTCATTGATTGAAATGTCACTATGGAGCATATGATTATATTTCATTTACATGAGAAGTCTAAAAAGGCAAGTTTATAAAGGCAGAAGCCAGATTAGTAATTGTCCGGGGATTAACCATAAACAGCTACGATGGACTTGACTTGGGTGATTGATATATTCTAAAATTTGATTGTGGAGCAGCCTGTGGAGTGGTATTTGAGGGGGTTGGATCCCACATGGCTGACTGCATGGTTCAAGTCCTGGACCTGGCAGCTTGAGGAACATGTGGGGCATGTGTCTGTGTGTTTAAGTCCACAATTCTGAAAGGAAGGAGAGATGGAGAAGGGATTGCAGGATGACCATCCCTCATGGGGAGGTGCTTTTTCACCTTCTCTCTCTCTCTTTCTAGCAAGTGCACTCAACCTCTGGCAAACATTTAAAAAGACTAAAATTGACAGTAGTGATGGTAGCACAATTGTATAAATTTGCTAAAAGTGATTAAACTGTACCTTTAAAAATAGATGATATATATATGTATGTGTATATATATATATATATACCTTAAAACTGTTTTTAAAATATTCTGAATGTAAAAACTGGATCTGTGTGATTGTATTCTATTTGATTTCCAAAAACATCAATCATGAGAAACAACTTTTAATTTTTCACTTACTGAAGGATGGGCTGCTATATATCCATGTGCACTTTTATCTGAAAAGTAAGAATAGAGATCACTTTGTGTATATATATATATATATACCTTAAAACTGTTTTTAAAATATTCTGAATGTAAAAACTGGATCTGTGTGATTGTATTCTATTTGATTTCCAAAAACATCAATCATGAGAAACAACTTTTAATTTTTCACTTACTGAAGGATGGGCTGCTATATATCCATGTGCACTTTTATCTGAAAAGTAAGAATACAGATCACTTTGTTTCATAAATACTTCCTTATTTAAAGATTTCACAAAAACAAAACAAAAACTGCATGCCTTTGACTAGAAGGAAATTCTCTAATGTAGAATCAAATAGATATTATGGCAAACAACATAGTTTTTTTTATAAAACAGCCAACACCATTACATCTTCACGCTATTCTCAAAAAGTCATTTTACAGACCTTAATGAAAGCAACCAGTGAATCTCATCTATATGGAGAAATGTCAAGAGTGCCTATTCCTGATTGGTATGATTCTATAAATCTATATTCAGGAATTCTTGCTCTTTCCTTTCTCTCTCTTTTCCATTGCTTCCATCCACTGTCCCTTTTTATCCCCATCTTGTCCTCCTCTTTTCCTCCTATCCTGTTAGTCTCGATACTAGAGCATTCAGAAAGCATCTATTGAGTTTCACTCAGCTCAGTGGAATATAGCAACCAAGATGTACAGCTGTCGGTATTTCATCTTTGTAAGTTGAGAGAATCCAACACATAGCAATAAAAATGTTAAAGAGCAATGGCTACTTGGAGTAAAGAACTCTGAGATTCTAAAGGATATTAATGGTCATACTGAAAAACGTTTTTGAATGAATTTTTAGCTCTGGCCACCACTGATTGTAACTTGGAGCACAGCTCTTGATTTTCTTCCATTAAACAAAGTTTGATGTGTCACTGGTATCTCTTACAAGTTTTATTCCATGTGGAAGCCTAGATATCATTAAAGTTCTCCTTGATGCCTTTCTTCTGAGGTTTTTAAACTCTAGATGATGGCAGTTAAGCAGCTTTGTCGTTCTAATGTGAATCGTCATGTGCCCTCAAGTTTGGGCTTTGATATTTGATATCATCAAATCAAACATTACTATTCTTCTAAGTGTATCTCACACCATTCTACTTCAAGCCTGCTCTATACTAAATCTAATGCCAAGGAGGTAGAGGCTCTTTATAGCTGAGTACTAATGACAATATTTGTTTCTTTCTTTGGATGTTAAAAAATAAATTGTTCGGGACCAGCAGTTAGCATAATGGATATGTCGCTGAACTCCCATGTAGTCAACAGCAGTTCGAATCCTGGAACCGGTGGCTTAAACTCATGCTGGGTACGTACCCAAGATCCCAAGAAGAGAATGGAGGAGAAGGGATTGTGGCGTGGCCATCTCCCCTGGGGGGTGATTTCTCGCTTTCTGTCTCTCTGTCTCTCTCTTTCTGGCGAGTGCACGTACCCTATAGCAAAAACCTCTCCAAAAATAACCCACAATTGTTCAGAGCTGGCAAGTGGTGTAATGCTTAAGGTGCTGGACTCTCACATGTCTGACTACGGTTCAAGTCTTGGACCTGGTGGCTTGCTTTCTTATTTTCTCTCTCTGGTCAAGTTAAAAAAAAATGATAAATTAAATTAAATTAAATAATTACTTAAGATAAATAAATAAATTGCTCTAGAGAAACAACCAAGATTGTCTTTATTAAATACAAAAGTACTGTTTGGTATATGCTTTTTAGTTGCTTAGTGCAAATTTGAACATCAAAGCTCCAAACAAAAGCCAGGTTTACACACTAGCAAATGAACTCAAGATTTGTCAGTAATGTTGCTATTTTAACCTACGTAAGTAGCAGGGCATGATTTCTTTTTTTCAATTTGATTTTAGGGTCTGATCAAAATAATCAGACAACCATAAAATTTGTGCTGTGTTACCATGGTGTAAATCAATAAACCTACGGGATAAAATAGATTTCTAGAAGCCACAATTTACTTCATGAACATATCACAAGGCCTGATCCTAAGTGACTGTGTGTCTTCATGCCAATGAGGAGACAAAAAAATTTTGATTGCTGATTCAAGCTAGAACTACTGCCTCATTGAGCAATTTTCACATTTCAGTTCTAAGAGCACTTGAGTAATATAAATTTCCTATCATCAACCTTAAGTACCAAATTCATATTTTGTTTACTTATGCTGAAGAGATTTGTAGAAGATACTAGAACTGACTTCCAATGATCTATATAGAAGGCTCTGAGAATGAAATTACTTTTTCACTCTTTAATTCTCTATACTTCCTCTTACCTCCTGATGTAAAGCTCATGTATTTCTGGTTGTTGACTGTTTCCTTGGAATCATAGAATTTGAGAACATCTAAAACGGCTTGTGGGTTCTTCTTCTGTTCCAGTTTTGTTATGTTGGAAGTTTGGAGTAATCGTGCCCATTGCTCAGGAATTCCCTGTGGACAACCAAAGGCAAAGAATGGTAGCTCAGAACATTCGGCATCAGTATTTTCACGTTCCAGTAAAGTTCTTCATCAAGAAGCCCATGCTACCTGTAGGATTATACTTGGGAAACTGAAGTTACATTCTAGATTTAAAGTTAGTAACTAAATAATGCAATCATTCTCTTCTCCAATTTAAACACATAGGTAAAACTAGGATCCAAATTAAAAAGGGTGGGTGGGAGTATGACTGTGATAGAAAAAAAAAAGCGCATGAAAATCACCTCCATATTGACTCTGCTCATCCATGAAATGATGTTTACAGCTTAGCTTATTTTTTTCTGGTGACTCAGGGCAGACATAGCAAGACTTCTCTAAATTTGTGCACAGCATAGTATAGTGCAGATCAATGAGGTTTTTTTTTTTTAATGACTGGAATAACATTAGCAGTTTCTGGGCACACTGTATTTAGAATATCTTTTAGAGTAAAAGGAAAACCTTACCCTTGTTCACTTTATACTTTGTGATTACGAAATACAATGTGTGTGTGTGTGGGGGGGAGTGTTCCCAGAGCTTTAATTAATATAAAAAGAGTTTGGGAGGAGACAAAAATTTAACTGTGGAGGAGCAATAACCACTGAAATGCTAAATAGTAACATTAATGCTGTTTTGGGCATTCTCCCTGCAGCTCTTTTCAGGGCGTGCCCTCTTTGTCTGCTCCTTCCCTCTCTTCCTCCCCACTTCATTCATTGGCCATAGAACCTGGGGACTATGAAAATCATGCCAAACTCTTGTGAGAATTTGTAAAAATCTGAAGCATTTGGAGCAGAGAAGAAGGAGTATTTGGAAATCTAACTAAGGAGAACTGCAAAAATTACACAGAGGGGTTAGCTTTGCACTGAGCATTCAACATTATTTCCTTCAGGTTAAGCCTACAGATGTCCCCATTTCATAATTATCGAGCCTCCAAGAGTAACTTGGAGGAAGTTACAGACACACTTCCAGAAGTGCATCCAGACACAATTTATATGGCTTTGTCCTATGAAGTCTCGGCAAAACAATGTGTGACGTGGGCCTCCAGAGTTTGGGAATGACAACAAAAAAGTGAGATAAGCCAAGCAACAACTCTACTGCACACACATGAACCTGCTGCTGCAGTGCTATGACATCTCAAAGAAGCACTTTGATGCAAGCTTCTTTTGGGCCTGTGACGCACCTCTGGGAGCTTCCCTGGGCACATCTGTGAGCCATAGAGATCTGGCTGTAATGGACGTAAATAAAGAAAGAAAAGAAAGTTAAAACAGAATGTGGGACAACTTAGAAGGTGGGAGGAGATGAAACCAATGGGTCTGATGGGGGGGGGCAAATCCCCTCTAAAGTGGGGCTGCTATGAAAATAGGGAGGTATTAATTAAATCAGGGACAGGACAGGCTACAGGACAACAGATTTAAGAGAACAAAGAAAATGACAATGTTCCAATGTTTGGAAGTATAATTCCATTTTTGGCCAGATGCTTCCTCCATAAATATGCAATAATCAGAATTACCATTAAACGACTAGGGGAAATACTGTAAAGCAGGAATATGAATTTTCAAGGAAGAAGGATGGCATCATGAAAAGCTTAGACAATAATTTGTAAGTTGTTATAATTGGGTGATCACAGGTAGCCAATGGCCATGTGATGAACTTACAAATTTTAGTTCTCAATTCCAGTAAACCAGTTTTCAGTTTCACATTGGAAGTATTTATGTGGTTAAAATTTAAAGGATGGCTATATGGTAATATTTTTGTTCTCATTGATGTGATTTTACTTTCTAGCTAAAGTCATGGCTGGCTTAAAGAAAACTGTCAATAGATAAAAAGAACATTTCCCCACAGCCAGACTCTATGCTTAAGTTTTTTAGATACTTAGGCCAGGGAAAGGGAAACCATTTCATTTAAAACCATATATGAATAATTTGCATTTTAATGTTGCAGTTCCAAAAATCCCACTTCCCACAAAATAGATCAGATATAAGGTAACAGCTTTGTCTAAGTAAAGATATGTCAAACACTACAGAAACATGCTTTGACCAAATTGGTTTGATTTGGGCTATACGTCCTTGATTCCTGGCATTTGGGGTTACTCCAAGCATAGTGAAACAACACCTTTACATGCATTCATCACGCAGTTTAATGCTAAAGCCTTAAGCCAAAAATTTGAACTCAGGAGCCCATGCATGATCCCAGTTCTGATTCTAAGTGCAATTAATAGCATTTGGTTAATACTGTAATGGCCAAAGGAGTTATTGTTATAAATTCAGGTATGCATTGCACATAACCACTAGAGCAGACATCACTGGCATGATTGTTACCATAATCATGAAAATATTTGCAGTTATTATTCATTCCCATGGCACTTGTAAACTTTTATGTTAAATAGTCAGATGTTTACTAGACAGCAGGAAAAAAAATGCTGTCAATTGCAGAAGACCCTGCAAACAACTATACTTACCACATGACTACACTGCTGACTAGTTTTTCTAAGTTGGGACAAACCAGTTTATCAATGAAACCTGACACTTAAATTTGAGTGTATGCTACAAAGGCACATAATCAGAAAGCCATCTCAAAACTCTAAATGGAGAAACTAATTCCAAAAGTTAGACAGCCAATAGAGACCTAGGAGTTTGAGCATCAGAAGCAAAAGCACATATCAATCCCTGACCATGTAAACAAAACAACTATATGTACATCAAGCTGGGGACTGTCCAGTGTAGCCCAGGAGAATGGCAGCATGATATAACAGGCCAAGCATTTATCTTATCATAAAAAATGATAATTTATATCACTCATACCATTTTTCCCTCTGATTGACTTGAAGCGACCGTCACAGGTCTAGAGGTCTGGAAAGGGGAGTTCTAAAGTATTTGGGACAAAAATGGCAATATAAAGGGTAAGGACTTGTAATAATTTAAATAAAAAATCTCACTTCCCCACCTAATTTTAGCTTCAGGGTTTAAGTGTATGATCAGGTGTGCAAGGTTTTATGAGCCATAGCGTACACACCAAGCAACACACCAAATCAGTGTCCAAATATTCAAAATAGCAGGCCCTTGTAAGATGATTAGAGTAGATAGTTCAACAATTCACTCAAAATTCACTTAGTATTAAAATTCCCCCTTCAAAATACAATGAATTTGTGGTACTAGAGTAAGTAGGACCCAATTCTAAATTCTACCAATAAAAAATTGTTTAAGATTATTTTCATTTGCCATTTTTTAAAGTTAATAAACATGACAACATAGTAAATGTACACCATAGGTTAATATATTTCTAAAAAGGCCAGCATTTGGCATCTTCAAAAATAGTGTCTGGTCAAATAGATACAAAAGATTATGATCACAGACAATAAAATAAGTTGGATTTCCAAGTTTAGCCTATTTTTGTCTATGTATTCAGTGGATTTTTATCAACTGATTGTTTCCAAACAGTTGTTTTACTTCAAATTAGGTGGTTTCTTGGGTGGGTAAGGTGGGGTATTTGTTTGGTTTAGTTATATCCAACAGTTTTTCACCACCAGAACAACTGCCCATCACATATCACACCTCATCTCTTTCTGATCAATTCTTTAGGTTCTGATTGACATCAAACTGAAAATGGCCGGTGCTGCAGTTGGCAAGATGCAAGAATTCCTTCATTTAGATTCAAAATTCAGAAATGATAAAAAGTCAAAGATAGATTGTATTATAATATGTCAAGTAAGCTAGGGAAAGTAGAAAGAATAAAATATTAGAAAGGAACCAGATTTTTAAATTAGATAGTTGGAGAAAAAAAAACTTTAACACTAGAAAACAAAAGGAAGATAAAAAAAAAGAAAAATATTGAATGACAACAATAAAATGAAAAGTTTAAACAGAAGAGAAACAGAGAAAATGAAATGGTCAAAATTGGAAGGTAAAGGTCTTAAAATGAAAAAGAATTATTAGAATTTTGATAAAGTAGAAGGGCTTTTTCTGTGTCAATGTCAGAAAAAATAATTATAATCTCTTTTTTTAAAACAAAATTTTTGGATTACACAAATTACTTTTTTTTTTCTGGTGGTGGTGACATAGTGATGGCAGAGGTAATAATAAAGTTATGGTTTCTAAATGCAGCAAAGAGAATATTCTGAAAATATAGTAAAGGTTGGGCTCAAACTCACGGCCATTTGAATAATGTCTCTGATTCCGATGATGAAATTGGTTTAATCTCATCTATCTCCTCTTTATCAGTGTCAATATTTCTTAATGTACTCTTCTGCTTGCTACTGAGAATGCAGAAATAATCAGCTCACACCACTTTACAGGACCAACATGTTTCCTTAGTTTCCATTTCATCCTCATATTGCTTACTTCCAAAATAGAAAAAATAACATATTTTGGCTGTCAATTCAGTGATATGATTTATTTCTCTGCATCAATTAATTTGTTCCTTCTTTTTTTTCCCCCCACTTAATCATAAGACAGTCTACTCATTAACCATGTTATGAAACAGGAAATTCAACTACTTAGTATCTGTATTTCTCTCTTGTTTAACAACTTGAAAATTGATGGTGATGGTTTTATCAAAATTATTTCTTTCCTGAATGCATTCACAATCATTCATTATTTCAGAATGCACATTTTGATTATGTTCTTTACTAGTATAACCTTCCTGGGGACATATTTCTAGCTAAATCTTTTCCCTTATATTTTAAGAAGTGCCAGATCTTTGGGACCAGCGGGTGGTGAGGTGGATAGGGCATGGGACTCCCACATGACCACTGTAGTTTGAGTCCCAGACCCGACAGCCTGAAAATCACACAGGATACATGCACCTGAGTGTCTAGATTCCCGAGAGAATGGAGAGGGTATTGCAGTGTGGTCATCTCCCCTAGGGGGGTGGCGGTGATTTATCACTTTCCACCTCCCTGTCTCTGTCTCTGGCAAGCGCACATGTCCTATGGCAAAAACCTAAAAAAGCTGAATCTTTAAAAAAATATATAAAATGTCATAGACCTGAGATCTTGTGCTATTTGAGTACTATGAATATCCAAAAAAAGGCTTCATCTATACTTAAAGTCTATCCAGATCATTCTTATTGGTATTTATTATGGATTCTAAGATATAAGTAACCCATAATAAATAAATATGTATACATACATTGCATAACTACTAAAGGATACATGATATATCCTATAAATTCCTTCCTGAAATATGGGGTTTGCTTTTTAAAATATCTATAAATATATTACCTATTAGAAATTCTAAAAATAAGCTAAACTTTTAAAATCAAGGAAATAAAGGTGAATTTTACAGAGATTTTGGTTAGTGTGGTTAACTGATCTGTGTAATCCAGGCTCTAGAGTAAAGTTGAATTATTCAGATAGACTGTCCTCACTGGCCAAATCGAGAAGATGATACTCTGATTCAGTTCACATGATAAAGAATAGGTTCAGGAAGGGTTTCTATACTATTTTGTTTTCTGTGTCATAGTAAGTTGATCTTTTCAACCAAGTTGAAGACTATCAACAGTGTTCATAAATTTTTGTTAAGATGGACAAAATAATTTTGTCAATGTTATTGCCACTCTCTATATCTGAGTATGATAATCTAGGCAAAGTCCATCTTACTTGGAATCATTAAAAATATCAATTCTGACAGTTTGGGACATGGTTAGTCTTGCTTGAAATCTATGTTCACAAAGGAATTTTTTCATGGCTTACAAAACAGAATAAGGAGCTTACTTACAGTGAATTCCCCGGTGACTGCATCAAACCCCACATGAATCGTATGCTCAAAGTCTGAAGGAAGAGAGATCTCTGGGCGCTCTTTCTCTTTCTTCTTATTGGCTAAAGGCAAAATGTTAATATGTATTTATTTGGGATTTAGTTTTGGCATTCATAAGCTACACAATTAGGCTCACCAAAACAATTATAAAATTGAAAGATAATTTACTTCAACATGATTTTATTAATACTTAATTGCTGAAATTCTAGTTTTGTTTAGAGAAGTGGCTCAGACTTAGGCCAAAATGATTCTATCCAAATAACCCAAAAGTTTGCAGAACCCAAATTCAAACAAAGTCCTCACTGGAGCTGACTGATGTCCTTATCAGTCTAACAGTGTAACCAACATGTATCTAGGTACGTTATTTTTAACTGTTTTTTTTTTTCTGGATCAAATACTGCTTACAAAAGAAGAAATTCATTAAGTTTAAGTCAAATAAGACATAATGTTAGAAAGCACAGAAAAGTACCCCAGTTACCTATAAAAAAGGCTATGAATTGTTTCCATGTCAACTATAGCTATTAATACCAAGTAGGTAGAACTTCTTTAATTTACATGTTGACATATGTATTAATAAAGTGTTGGTCTACTTTCTAAAAAATGCAATTTCAAATCAATGAGGCTACAAATCTTTCTTCAACATTAAAAACATTTCAATCATCTTCTACCCAGGATTTCACCAGTAAAAAGCTACAAATCACTGCTTTTTACTGAATTTAGTTTATTTAGTACTTAGAAATCTCAAACCAGTTCCTTGGCTTAGTCCTTCAAGTTGGTAGCTATTTCACTATGTCCTCATTATTGTTTGTCTATTATAGCCATTTGAAATCAGCGTCTTTCTCAAGTAGCAGATTTTTCAGTGGCAAAATTATAAATAAATGTACTGATAGTGAATAAGTTAAGAGGCTTTAAAAATATAATCATTGAAAAAAATAAGTTAAGAAGTATAATTAAATTAGTCTATCTGAAAATAGTTACTAGCAAAGAAACATTCCAAAATGACATCTCATAGCTTACAGAAAATACATTATCAGCAGATTTGAACGTGCATACCTAAGACAGTATCTCATACTGAAATAATACAAGTTCTTCTAATATTAAGAAGGTTAACATGAACCAGGTATATCCATTTGAAAACTATCAACTTCAGAATTGCCAGAGTGCCTAATTCAGAACATTCAGGTTCAAATAGATGTTTCCTTGGCTTGAATTACAGATGATGTTTAATTAACTATATGCAGATTACTAATTTTGCAAGCTATCCATGATAAATTTTAAGTTGAAAACCTTGCATGTTCAAATGCTATTCTTATTAAGGCCTCTCTCTCTCTTTCTCTATTATAACAGAGTGCACAGAAGAGAAAGAAAGAAATTTTTGGTAGTCTTATCATATAGCAGTCCTTCCTGCACCCAATTACCAGTTAGCTAGGATCACAGGTGCTTGCCACTGTGCCAAGTCTTTTTAGGTTGAGCCAGGAACTGAACTTGCGCCTTCTATATAGCGCCCTCTAGCTTGTGCCACTATATGTTCCCATAAAAAGCCATGGGTTTGTCATGTCTTGATCTTCATACCTCAGCTTATCAGCTGTGACTAAAAGTATGGGCCACAGGCCTGGCTACCCCTCTGCTCATCCGCATCAAGGTCTCCCTGTGTTGCCTAGGCTAGTTTCAAGTTCACAATCCTCCTGCGTCAGCCTACTGAGTCACTGGATTAAAGGCACATGACACCAAACTTGGTATTTAGGTTGGACAGGGAATTGAACCCAGGCTCCTTTGTGGTCTCAGCCTGTTCAGTATCTTAGCAGTGCATGCCACCACAGCTGGGCCTTTTTTTCTCTTTCCATCCTCCATCCTCTCTTACTGTTCCACATCTCCAATCAGAGGACAGAGATGTAAGGCAGAAATATAGAAATTCAAGTAGTGAGAGGAACTAAAGATCAGGAAAGGTTGAGAGTAGGGGGGACAAGAGTCACTCAAAGAATCTGTCTGGCCATGGAACACATTTAGAACTTATTTTGAAAAAGTATACATATGCTATCTAACTGGACTTTGTCATAGATTCCAGTTTTATATTGAGTTTACTTTACTGATGAGTATCAACCTAACTAAACAGTGGAGTTTAGACCTTTCTGTTAGTATTCCTATTTCTCCTACATGTTTGTGGAGTGTAGGTCCCATTTATGCTTGTTCAAATACCATTTTTAGTTGTTCAGAAAGATAAAACAATTTCTCTACTTCCCACTCCACCACAGGTGCCCTAGCCACTCCTATAACAAATATATTTCCTTTTTCCTGATCTCTCATCTATGCTGGACATGAGCTAATTAAACCTCTCTTTCCACTTCCCTGATGATGTGGTCTGACTTTTCTCCTTCCTCAGTGATTATCCTTTCCTTGATTGTCACTACAATCCCCATTTTCCACTTTTTCTAGTATAGTCTTTGGTCTTCTGCAGTCATTTCTCTACACTTGTTCCTCTTTTTTTTTGGGGGGGGTAAGAGATTTTTGCTATAGGGAGTGTGCACTCGCCAGAAAGACAGAGAGAGACAGAGAGACAGAAAGCGAGAACTCATCCCCCAGAGGGGAGGGCCATGTCGCAATCCCTTCTAGATTCTCCTCTCGGGATCTTGGGCATGCACGCACACATGCCCGGCCTGAGTTTAAGCCACGGGTTCCAGGACGCAAACCACGGTTTGACTACATGGGAGTCCAGCGACATAGCCATTATGCCAACTGCTGGTCCCTACACTCATTCCTCTTGAACTGCAGCCACTCCTAGATTTAATTCATGTCAGGCAATTCTCTGCTCTGTGATTGGCAAGGATGGATCCAGATGTTATGGGACCAAACACTTTATAAATAATTTGAAAGGAAGACTCCCTTTAAGTTAAAACAAGATGGGACCAGCAGTTAGCGTAATGGCTATGTCGCTGGACTACCACGTAGTCAACTGCGGTTTCAGTCCTGGACCCAGTGGCTTAAACTCATGCTGGACACGTGTGTATGTGTGCCCAGGATCCCGAAAGGAGAATGGAGAAGAAGGGATTGCAGTGTGGCCATCCTCCCTGGGGGGTGATTTCTCGCTTTCTGTCTCTCTGTCTCTCTCTGTCTGTCTCTCTCTGTCTTTCTGGTGAGCGCTTACACCCTATAGCAAAAACCTCTCCAAAAAATAAAATAAGACAAAATTTCAAACACAAAGTTGCTACGAGTCTTCCTAGGACTTTCAAAGAGTCTCAAGCAAGTGAAGAACTCTGAAAAAGCAGCTTCATTTGCTTCATAGTAACCAGCTCTTGGTAACATTTTTGTGGTCAAAGATAATTCTGAACAAAACATTCTGAAGGAAGCTATGGAACTTTTGCCCACAAAAATGTACTATACATGTGTGTATGTGTGTGTATAATTTTTCATATGCTTTTAAAGGGTCATAATTCCCCTAGACTCCAGATTAGGAGCCCCTCCCTTGAACTGCATGTTAACTCTTTATGTTAACTTGCATTCGTGGCTTATCTTCTTGCAAAGGTTATTCTCCCAACTTCTTTATTAGTATTGGCTGCACATTTGTAGCATGCTAAATTAGACATAAACGCTCAACTTGAGCTCAGTTATGTACAGAACTGACTGAACTGTCTCTCCAGAGAAGGCCACCTGATTTCCATTTCCTTCTCAGCCTAATTATACATTTCCCTTCATTCAGGGCTAAGCATAACAGAGGTAGGAAATCCAAACTTGTTCCTCCTCCATCGTTCCCTATCTCAGTGAATTAATACCATGAACCACTTAGATTAGAGAAAGAGTAAGGCCTCAGATTCTTCCACCTTTGGGAGACTCTAAGAAATGAAAAGATTATGATCTCCTGCTCCAATATGTAATTGAAATTTTTAAAAATTATGAAACCACAAAAAATTTATGGAAGTTCTGATGCTACTGTGATCAGTAATTTGACTCTTTAAAAAGCTATATATCCAAAATCGGGACCAGCAGTTGGTGTAATGGCTATGTCGTTGGACTCCCATGTAGTGCACTGTGGTTTGCGTCCCGGACCCAGTGGCTTAAAACTCACACCTGGCGCGTGTACGTGCGTGCCCAAGATCCCGAGAGGAGAACGGAGAAGGGATTGCGGCGTGGCCATCCCCCCTGGGGGGGGTGATTTCTCGCTTTCTGTCTCTCTGTCTCTGTCTGTCTGGTGAGCGCATGCACCCTATAGCAAAAACCTCTCCAAAAAAAGCTATATATCCAAAATCAAAATGTTTCCACATTTTGGTTGTCCCTGATTTGCTGGATGCCATTAAGAACAAGCTTAGGGCCAGCAGGCGGCGTGGTGGCTGAGGCGCTGGATTCCCACAAAGCAGAACGCGGTTCAAGTCCTGGACCTGGTGGCTTGCTTTCTAACTTTCCTTCTCTCTGTCTCTGTCTATCTCTCTCTTATGAGCATGTGTGCTCTATAGCAAATTAAAACTTAAAAGGGATAGTAAACAAAACTAAATAAATAATTCTGTACTCCCAAAAAAGAAAAGAATCAGCTTATTCTGGCTACTGAGTAATCCAGTTGTAGCACAACTCTTCTTTTCAGACATTTGAGAGATTTGGGAGTCATCTTTGATGCCTCCTTTATTTATTTTTATATTAATAAGTCAACAAGTACTATTTTATCTCCTAAACTTGTTTTGAATCCATCTTTATCCTTTCATCTACACACAGCACTCTCTCAGCCAAGGCATCAGTATTTCTCACCCAGTTTCAATGCCTCTAATTTTTCCCTCTCAAATTCATTTCTCTATTCTTTGGCCAGATCACATTCTTGCCTTCAATATCTTTAAATTGCCCTTCCCCTTACTCATATGTTAAAAGTTCATGATGCTCAGCATGACATTTAAGGGACTGCATAATCTGTTTTTAGCTTACCTCTCTAGCCCCTTTTCTTGCATGGATTCTACTAGTCATTCATTCCATGCTATCTAAACTGCCAAGTTTTCTCTTACCACCAAGTTTTACGCATGCTGGCTTAGGTATTAGCACTGACTTTTTATTTCCTCTTTACATACCTATCACTCTAGCTAAAATT